GTTTGAACAGAATTAGGATCACTTTTCTGATTAGTTAATTAGTTAAAGTCGGTCAGATGTCTGAGAATATGACTTCTGACAATCTTCTATCCTAAATTATATACTATCGTAAACATTTTGTTTACTAGTGCTACCAATTTTATGCCTTCTAAAAAGTCTTATACATCTTATAAACTGACCATCTTACATGGGGCTAAACCTGAAGGCTATCTTAGCAACTAATGAAACAACCAATTAGGTTTCTTTATTTCTATCTTATAGGTGGATCCTCATAAAATAAAGAGATCTAACTGGTTATTTTAGTTGTGCTTGGGTGGGCTCCAACGTTACTCTATACTTAATAGCCTTTGGTGTCACTCAAATTCTACTACTATTATTATGACTATAGTAATACAAATAACATCTATTAGCGAAAATTTCTTTTTCTGAACGCTGTATTTATATCACCTTTAAATAGATGTTCTCAGTGGATCTTCTGTTTACAACGTAATATTTGGAATTTTGTAATTACATCTAACTTTTGAAGTTGTACTCTTGATCTGTCAAACTGTTTTACTTGCAACAAACTGAAGATTAAAGTTGTAGTGAAAATTATGGTCACAAAAGAGTTCAAATCAGTGACCACAGATATATTGGCTGTATGTGATCAAGTTTTTCATTGTAATCACTACTCTATTACACGAAAACCAGCCTTCCAGATAGTCATTAATAGCCTTAGTGACAATTACTTACCTGTTCTTCTATTCCCTTTTAGTACGATTTCAATAAAAATGTGAAATATTGTCTAGGAAGCTGTCATAATAACGACTAACACGGTATTATGTATCACTCATTCACATATAGGCCAGCTAAAACCCTATTTGAGTGAAATGAAATTGAGATCTGACCAGCGGCTAGTTCCAGTATTTCGGTCAGTGGAGCATCAGACACCAATAGTTCAAATCTCTAGCAATGCACTTCGTTGTTTCAAGTGAAGTCACTAATTTGTAACATGAATTTGCCTTTTCAAACCACAGGTCTCCATATGTTTATATTTTTCATATAGAACTGTAAGCGTAGACTGACAATAAGTTACGTATCTACGATGTAACATCTCCCTGAATTTTAACGCTTCTCCGCTTGATATCATTCAGCCATAGAAAGTGTTTTTGAATCAATAAGTTCCCTAAGGGAAATGTGAGTGAACAACGTAAACTTGCATTAACTGGTTAAAAGTCATTATTAATAAATCGTCTTGTTGACAGATGACTAGTAAACGGCAAACTTAAAACAGTTGTGCATACCAACTAAAGTATAATAGTATGATAGGTTAAATGTGTTACCTAATAACCTTGATATCAAATCTGTCAGCATTAATACTATGTATTTAAATATAATTAATGACTTGATCTATATTTGTGAGCAATTTCAACGATTGGGAAGATCACGGGTATTAGTTTCACTCGGAACATTACAAAAACCAGCAAGCTTATCATTCTGTATAAATATTCATTACAAATATGTTCATAGTAAATTGACTCACTCCACAATGCACAAGCTTTCCTCAGATATAGGTAGGCAATGACTTATCTGGCAGTAACTCACTGGCTCGAATGGTTAACTTACATCATCTAGCAGGGTCTAAGCATCTTGCTTACAATTATTGGCTTCATAAGAATAAATGTCGTTAATAACCTAATCGTAAACAAGTACTACATCTTATTTTAACTTAGATTGAATGCTGAACACTTAGAACCAAGATTAATTTACCCGCTGAGGAGTCCAAACAAGTTGTATTGGATTTTGAAATCCTATCAAAGGTACACATTTTCATGAGGTTATAGAATAAAAATCAGAAATGAGTGTTTAGTGCTTACGCTACACTACTTGTTATTTTATTCATACTGGTTTGTATTAATTACTTACTTACTTAATTAATCAATTATACCTATGTAATAAATTAATAATTTAGTTACCCGTAGTTCGATCATGTAGATATTTCATTCAGTAACCACGTTTATAATGTAATTATTGAAATAAACAATACTGAGAGTGTAATTAACTTTATCTTCACATGACAAATGTTTAAGGCAAATTTTATTAGATATAATAAAAATTAATTAATTCTAGAATAAATTATTTATTGGGTAGATAAAAGCTAAAGTATAACGGCTATTTGTTGCATAATTTAACACACAATTTCATCAAGATTTGTTCAAATGAGTCATATTGATGGTTAATGTGGTGGACAGTTTGAAGTTCACTGTGATCTAGGATGTTTACTTCACTTCAGTTAAGATAAAAGTGTACACCGATCACCTAACCAAACAATTCTCTATGTTTAATGAATGGTTTACTGAGACGATGGGGTTTATAACTGTGAACTGTATCCAATCGCTCGACTGACTTTACCAATAAATATTATTATTACCTCGAAACGTCTTGTATCACTTGGTTCTGGTTACGGTTGTTTGGTCGACAAACTTGTATATCTGTCTGTCATGAGTGCGCACTGCTGAAGAGTCCCATACTAGGAAGAAACAGCTGCCCAGTGTTCCCAAATTCCAAATGGTTCTCCAACCGACAACAGTCCTTGATGAATACCAACTTGAAATCAAAAAATCCCCACAAACCTCCAAATTGAATTACTGTCCAATGCTCAACGTGCTTACCGCAAGACTTGAATGTCTTGGGTTAGATCCCCAACCGGGGTATGGATATGCATTGGTGAACAGTCCCATACTAAGAAGAAACAGCTGTCCAGTACTCCCAGTTTTTCAACAGTTCTGCAGCTGATCTTAGCCCATGATGAATACTACCTTCAAATCAATAGATCCCTGTAAACCTCCTAATTGAAAGAAGATTTGGTGTTTACACCTCTCATCTTTCGATCTTTAATTCTTACTAGAGTTGGTTAGAATTAGTCCAGAACGTCTACTGAGTACAGCAACTAGATTACATGCAGTTTATTTAAAGTGTATAGTATGTGCAATGATTGTTAGGTTACCTGTTCAAATAAACCACTTCTTAAAAATGATTTAACGACTGGGCTGATAACTAGTTTTGATGCACCTATTTACCTTCTTAGCTCTCCAAAGTATTTGTTCATCTTTCAAATTCTATTTTACCAACAACATTAGTGTGTTTGTATGTCTTGAAAACTTAGGAGGAAAATCTGTAGGTAGGTCAGATGAGTGTTAATTTCTTTTATAAGTTTCCCTCGAATAACTTGTAGTTTTGAAAGATATTCTTCGAAAGTTACTTTGATGATACCTTTACTGTATATAGTGAAATAAATTAGACCATTAATCTATTTAAAACATTAAATAAGGCTGATTTAAAATAGCAAATTCAAAATAATACAAGAACAGAAGAAGAAATAACTGTTGTCAAAAGTTTAATTCTTCAAGCAGAGTCTTGCTGAATGCGTCGGCTTTGATAAGTTTGATTTACTATTCCATAAACTAGGATGTATGCAGTTATTCCACTTTGGATTTAAGAAATGTTACCTAATGCGGTTGGATCACTGTACTTTGATCCAGAAATACAGTCAAAAAAGTGGTCATCCTTAAAAGCCTACAAGAAAGCATACCATGAACCCTCACATTAAAGCTAACAAGATGAAATCCAAACACAATAACTACATTCATCTTATAAATGTCATAGGTGAGTATGTTATGATAGATATTATTGAGAGCACGCAACAAATATGCAGGAAGAAGTGGAGATGGATTGGCCATGCACTGAGAAGGCCGACTGAGGACATCACACGCCAGGCCCTCGAGTGGAATCCCCATGGGAAGCGACGAGTTGGACGTCCAAGGGTGACATGGAGGAGGTCGTGCGAGGAGGAAATGAGAGGTTGTGGGCTGTCGTGGGACCAGGTTCAAAAGATCTCAGAGAACAGAGTGGAATGGAGACGTGCTACTGAAGCCCTATGTTCCACTAGGAACCCAAGGGACTAATAATAATAATAATAATTGAGAGCACGCTTTAGAGAATGTTCACCTCAGAAGATGTGATAGTTTCAGTAGTTTGGTTACATGTGAGAAGTTAAATAGAAAAGCTGCTGCATACACCACAAACTTACTGAAAATAACCAGTAAAAGTGTCATTCCATTCTTCTATAATTTCCAGCGGCAACAAAAGCAAGAAGTTTAAAGATAACCTTTTGCTTAAGACAGAGTAAGGAATTAGCCTTCAATCACCGTGATAACACGTGTGCATTATGATTTCCACCCGTCTACTGTACCCTCTCACTGAAATTTCATTGACTTTTTATGGGATCAGTTATTTAAAATATCACTTAGATTACTAGATAACTCCTTCAAAATTTTTGATCACTTGTTCGATATTGGTTAATAGTGGAATTCAAGGCAAGACTTTCGTCATACTTGTAGTCTGTTGGGTGGAAATACCAGCATGTCAATGACCAGCGCAGTACTCACTGGAACTAGTAGGGAGCGCCCGTTTATTAAAAAAGGTTGTGCTTCTAAATGAGTAATAATAGCCACTTCTTGTTCAACAAGCATTAGATGCCTTTTAGGATAAGGTTTTGGTGTTTGGAGAGATGGGTGCTGGGTTCGAATCTCTGCAGGAACAACATCACTCAGTAGGATGCAGGTATATCCAGCTAATCGGTCACAAATAGGACGAAATGAACGTCTTGGATTTCACTGCTATCCACCATCAAAGAAATTGCAGTATAAAAAACAAACATTTGACCATTATACTCAAATCAAGTGTAATTGTAACATTCAACCTAAGATTTGCTCATGACATAATCTTCCAGAAAGGCAACCGTTAAAATATTTATTGAAAAAAATACTCCACATCTATTGGTCATTAGAGAGTAGCCAATTTCATATTGTCTTGTTTTAAAATCTTAAGTGCTGCAGCAATTGTTTATTCCCCGAAATTGATGTTTAAATTCCGAGCTTATTGAAACTTGAACAAATTATCGCGTTAAATTCAAATTAATTAATTACTATTAGTTTATTTTTAATTGTTTTATATTAAAGGAAAATTCTGAAAACTCAACACCATCTTCAGAATGGTGCAGAACAACAGGAAACGCTTTCCAAGGTGTACATTCATCAAGTCATCATTCTAATGGTATCATCAATTCAGTACTTCGATATCGAATGTAATATTCAGTTATAAAATGATATTATTTTTAAAACAAGTTTTAAAAGTAGAAAAATTACTTTCTTTGAATACATAACAAGGAAGATAGTCAATTAAGGAGGATAGACAAAAAGTGATGGTCATAAACAAGTGAATGAACAGAATCCTAATGAACTCATATACATAATATTTAACATATACACATAAACGCACACATAATAAATAATAATAATTGTTTTAAAAACACTAACGATACTACTTACGTCTTGATTTCCTGAGTATCTCTCCTTGTTTACTTTACGCTTTGTTTGTTTTCTCATTTACTGTAAATGAAAAAAGTTGCATTTATTTATTCATATATACCTATTATATTGGTTAAAAGAGAAACCTCACTAAGTGGATTCACCATCTAGCCTACTATTTTGTTTAACCACGGACTGTTTATTGGACACTGAACGAAGTTATTAGGATGACAGAACAATGTCATTTAATAAAAAAAACAATAGTAATATAATTCTACAGATTCAGAGTAAATCTTGTCTTGGTAAACTGTTAGAGTTTACAGTTTATTAGAAATAGTTTGAAAAAGTAAATAAAGTTAAGCAAAATCATTCAAAGTATGCATAAAAAATGGATGAGAATAGTAAAAGACAGAATCGTTTTGTCCACAGTGAATACTATATCAAAAATAAAATCCCTATAAATCTCAAACTACATATATTTAAGTGACAATTTATGTTTACCATTGCCAGGAAACAACATCCTCAGGTAGTAACCGACTGTTAAACATTTCTAAACATTTTAGAATTTCAATGTAGGTTTGCTCATGGGACAACAGCAGTTGAATAATTATTCAACAACTCAAGGTACTTCACAGTTGTTTCGTCCCAATTTGTAACTCCTCAGTAGTATACACACAGTACCTGGGAAGGGTTAAGGATGATTGTCATACTATATGTCATTAATTCAGCTGAGGAAAGACGCAAACCACTCGATTTCAACTCATTACTTGATTGGTAACGTACTGACCATGAGATCTGACATTCCTGAGACAGACACTTCACGAGGTTGCGGGAGTGACCAACTGATGTTCAGTGCTCCTGGTTTCCAACTGACTTCAGTCATTGATGAAAACTGTTTTCAAATCAATGGATCCCCACAAACTACTGATTGTATTCTGCATCTGGTTCACCAAACCAAACGGATTCATTACACATCTTCTAAATTTAGGAGAATATATGCTTGTCCGTGTCTGACGTATTGGTCATTCAAGATTCAATGTAATTCAGAATGTTAGACTTCAAATACTTGAAGGTGTGCAAATACCTGAAGGTTGCGGGTTCGATCCCTGCTGATGTGGGGTCGTGGGTGCGCACTGCTGAGGAGTCCCATACTAGGACGAAACAGCTGTCCAGTGCTCCCACGTTTCCTTTGTTCCTGCAACTGATGTCAGTCTACGATGAATAACAACTTGGAATTAACTTTTTTATTTGTGTATATGCATGTGTATACGTTTGTCAATTCACATTATTTTGTCAAACAAGAGCAAATAAATAAAATAACTTAGAAGTAGTATTCATCATGGACTGACATCAGTTGGATAGATAATTTGATTCCCTGAATAAAGTTAAACAAAACGACAACGACTATATTAGTCACATAGATGCAGTCGGTGAGAAGCCCTACTTCAACTAGGTTTCGTGCTTTGTGACAGTCGTCAGCAAGGCATGTCTATAATCTTAACGGAGCCGACGTCTCGCTTGAGATTCAAACCCACATCACCAAGTGCTGCAGTCAAAGAAGTTACCACTAGGTTATCCGGACAGAGACCAACTTCCTGTGGGACTGGATGAGGTACACTAATTGGTGACCCTCTAGGGACCAATAGAGAATGACTGTATTTGCCTAATGCCACCCGAACTTATCGTTTTTATGGATACAAAAGAATATTATGGTTATAAACAGACAAATAGTGACAAGTAAGATACGATAACTTAAAGAAAACAGAGTACCATGGAAGTAAAATATCTTAAATTGCTATTCAAGGTAACAAATTACGTTAAATGTTAAAGGATAGATATCCGTAAGATCAAAATTCACATAGGGGACGGAATTGAGAAGGCTAGCAAAATGAAGTATTGTGCTATTCAAGCGAAAGAATATCGAAATACATTCGTTACTAGAGTGACAAACAAATCACACCCTCTACATCGGTGTAGTTAAAAACGTTGTATAATAATGGCTTCTGTGAAACAAAATAGTCTAGGTGTTTTCCGTATGGTTGGTATAAAGTTTAAAACAAAAGTTGGGCATTCTTAATAAATATTCCAAAGACAATGGGTATTTCAACAAATGTATCACGAAGTTGGGAGTACACTGTAGAGATAAACAAACTAATTAGTATTGAGAAAAACAAAGGCGACACTAATATTCATGCCATTAGATATGCGAACAAAAGAAGTACTCAAATAAACTTCTCTACAATGAAACTAATACCAGTATCAGATTGCATGTTATTAAACTAGTCCAGACTGAATACATACCATGCTTATGATGTGTTCAATCGTGTCTACAATTTTATAGGCCTTCACGGTAGCAATTACAATGAAGAAACTAACAATATGTCTTTCACCTAGTGGTTACTCAGTGAAATGAGAATAATTTATACTTGAAAGGAGATGAGATCTTGACTAATGCGATCAGCAGGCGGATATGTGGAAGACTACTGCTTCATGTATAATAGACAGCACAATTTTTTTGCACACTCTTGGAAATGAAAGTTTTGATTTGAAAGAAACCCAGACGTATATTCTATTTGATAAGTAATTAAAAACAAGTGGTTCAGTAAAGAGAATTTCATAAGCGATCTCATTCATTAAGCTGTACAGTCGCATTTATATACAATTCTTTTGGTGATAATGTACAATTTGTTTTATATGTGAAAGCAGATAGTTAGGTACAGCAGCAAACAAGGTGATACATACAAAAAATCGAAATATCATTTTCATCTTAAAGTAAAATGTTTTTGAGTGATAGAAAGTGACCAAAAGGCATAGTAACAAGCAAAGTTAAATTGTCATGACTTAAAACTTCAGGATTACTTAAATTAGTGAGTATTGTTCAAGAGATCAAAGAAATTAATTGAAGATGATCACTTTACGAAACGGGTCAATGAAGTCAATAGGGAATATAGGAATAGGAAGTTTGAATAACAAGTTGAGTAACATGATTAAATATTTAATATATGAATTGTTGTCAGTGCGGTTATAGAAACAAGGAATAGTTGATATAAGCAAAAACTTAATAGAATGAAAGAGTTAAAAGGGATGGACGTTTTGAAACGCTAACGATTAAAACCTCGAAAGAACCAAGGGTTGGACAATTCTCTTTTGCATACAAAGATTTGGCTTCTCTCTTTGAATTGCTAAAGTTGCAGCAACACAAAAAATGTGGATGCAAACTGACTTCGGTAAGTTTCTTTTCACTTCGTAAATAACTTTGAAAGAGGTGACTTTTGAGATTGAATAACCAGTGTCAACAAGATGTTCCATTATCGCACTTTTTATTGATCCCCTGTTACCCCTTTGCAGCCATGCAGGATAGTGTTCTTGAACACATTTGAACAGAATCCACATTGAACGATAGATATATGCAGCTCCATGGGAGCTGGTAAACTGACATAAACACATACAGATGCCCAGATGACAGATTTTATCTTTTGTTTTTTTAACTAAAAGGCAACTACCGAACATCGTTCTGAGAGCTACTGTAAATAACGTTTTCTTCAAGGAGCATGAAATCCTTCTTTTTAAGATGTCAGCAATTAGATCATAATTGAAGTCAAGGTACACAGCATCTTTTCAATACAGATATCGAGTTTTGTTGTAATAGTAGAAAAACGTATTCTAGCTTCAGTGAGTGTAATGAGACTTAGACAAGTATATACAATGGGTCGAAAAGGCTTTAGCTGATAGCAAATGTAAACAAACGGATGTGTCTTTACAATCAAACGGGGGGGGGATATAACTTAACTACTTATTTCAAATAATGGTTTACCTTTCAGTAACTTTTGTTTCATTGGTCCGCGAGAATGTCATAAGATGGTACTTGACTTGTAATTGACGAACTTTAAGATTTGTCTAGATATATATCGATTAGAAACAATTAGTCCCTTTTATGAATTTGGATAATGTAATTAGAAGACGTAGATTATCTGAAAAATGTGATGTATTAGCGCTATACATTTTGAACATTTTGATCACACATTTACTTGTGTGTGCAAAAACAGTTTGTCCTTACATTGAGCCTACCTTGATAATGCTTATTTTATCGTATTACCATGACTGTCTTCAAATCTTATCCTTTTTTCCCTTCATTATCTTTCTTATTATTAAATTCCTTTATGTCATATTTGTCCGTCCCCCACTTCCAGTTTTCATATATAATGCCTTAACAAGCATATATGTAGTCAGATTGTTCGAAATGTATGGCGCTAATACATCACGTTTTTCAGATAATCTACGTCTTCTGATTACATTATCCAAATATATCGGTTAAATTGCTAATCGAAAGAGAAACCACTTTGCTTACTTTTAATTTCAGTGATATATTTACCGTCGGCATAACAAGTCCACATAAGGTACTAACTGGTCGTATTAAAACGTTAACAAGACACTTCATCTTCCCTCCAATCATTTAATTAATAAAACTATCTGACAACTTCAGAGTAGTAATGGCATCTAAATACCTTTTTCAGAAAATACAGTTTAAACAAATACCTGTGACATTGTGGACTTTAATTATTGTATTACTGTATTTCTTAGTATAGAATACTAAAGATTACTATGATGCTTATTTAGACTGTCTGATAGTATAATCTATTTATAAACTTCAAATGGGAATACAATTTCTGGGAAGTGTTTTTTCTATCAAATTACACCGGACAATTATTTGACATATTTGAGACTGAGACTGATAAATGAATTTTACCATTACGTCTTACAGAATATTATGAAACACTTAAGTTGTTCTTTTAAATAACTTTATTCGTTTTATTTGATTTGGAAGTCATTATCTGTGCACATCGGAAAGGTACGATGAATGACTTTATATTGAATACGGGGTACATTCGCAAATTTGCAACTAATCCCACTTTTCTATTATGTTATGTGGAACAAATTAAAAAAAACTATTCTAACTTATTTCTCATAATGCTTTTATATTTAGAAGTAATTCGCGTAGTCAGCATTGAATATAAGCGTTGAGATTATACGACTTTGCATTTTTATTTGGTATCAAATGTCAACCTTATCTGAAGTTCTTCAAAGTGAATTTTTCAATTTTAGTGAGATGGTAGGTATTTTAATTGTTAATTGTACTATTTCATAAGGAGATTGAGATGGTCAGTGTGAAATAAGATGCCTTTTTTGCTTGCTTGTGGTTTGAAATCAGTTCCGCCTGAAGTATAATTTCATAGACAATAAATTTGGTCTTCTGAATGTAAGTAGTGTGATGGATTGCAGATTAACAAATTCGAAAGCATTGAGTAAATACTTAGATATATTCAATATGCATGAACACACTGGAATCAAATAAGTGCCTCAAAAAATACACCTTTCGATGGCACTTATTTTCTCTTGATTGCTTTTCGTAATTTAATGGGACATTTCCACTTGCACAAACAACGCAAACAAAACAAATGCAGTGAGTAGTCTCTGCAGTGAATTACGAAATTAAAGCAAAAGGGCAGTAGGATTACCTGCATTCTTATCAAACAACTTCATAACTTCAGTGAAACCCAATTTATTTGCCTGTCTGCAATTCGTTTAATGGTTCTGAAGTAATACAATATACTGGCAGACGAACAGTCACTTAGTACATATGACCGTCCTTATTAATAACACTATAGTCTAACTAAAACAGATAAAACGCTCCCCTGTCCCCTCCTTCAACATTTGCTGTAAACTGATAATTTAATTTGTCCGATAGTGTTGCTTAGTCGGCTAAAACATGTGGAGGTATATTGTGTGGTATACGGCAAGCTGAAGAATAAGGACGAAATTTAATATCGGGAAGGAAACTAGTATCAACTGTTGGATTTTTCCCCAGACGTCTACGTTTAGCATGGTTCTCACTCTCAGTTTTAGCTACATCCTCATCAGCAACAGGTGTGAGTTCCTCAGGTTCCAGCTGTTCTTCAGTCTAAAATATATCTTGAGACATCAAAAAATTATTATGCTTCTACTTTTTCCGTCAACTCATAGGTATTGGCAACAGAAGTTGGGGGCTTAATGATGTCTTCGGCGTCCTCTTCATCAGCGAATGACAGTAAACTCTACATTTTGTAAGAATACACAAGTTAAACTTGCAGGCTGAAGAGTCTTTTTCTTTTCCAGTGCTGCATTTCCGGACTTGTGTGAGAGTCCTCTAGAATTCCCCAGAGCCAATTCTTTCTCTCTTTGTGTCATGAAGGCTTTTTGGCGAGCTTTCATTTCATCCAGCGTCACCAAACCAATCTAACACATGACTATTTTGGCATAATTTACATACTGTATTGGTCTTCAATTGGTGTTCAATTGCATCATAATGTACGGCAAACTTTGTCGACATTTCCCCGACTCGCATTTCCGCCTCAAGTTTCTTCTTCTGGAGTTCCAGCTCCTGACGTTCTTTTTCACGCTGCTTCATTAACAGAGCAGCCCTTTGAGCTTCCCTGGCAGCACCTTTAAAAGTAGCCATCTCCAAGTTATTGCAAAACTAGCGCTTATAAGTGAACTTCACACTGAAGGAAAATAATCTGTATGTGGCTTAGTATAACAAACAGATGTATTTTTACAGACGGTTATGTGGTGAAAAGACTATATTTACCAATTTGAACCACAGAAGTAGTCTTTTCATGGTGCGAATAGTCCGTGAAATCAACTTGTATATTATCCAAATGTGAGTTTCCAATGTTTTTCTCAAATCTTCTTGTTACAGCAGTGGCACTTAATGACTTTCTTAAACTATGCTTCTGTGATAATGGAATTAGATCTCGTATGTGGATCTCTTGACAAAATTTCTCACCAAGATTATGAAAGGAACAGACTAGAACCACTGTTAAGGACTAATTTTCAATATTAGCATGCCATAACGACCACAGAATTAACATTTACACTTAACGAATTGTCCTGGTGCGAACTTGACAGACGCAAAGACCAATCACTGATCATTCAGACTTGTTATATGCCCACGAGTACGAGACTAAGGAAGAACACAATAACGTAGTCGGATGGAACAGTATATTTGGATGGTTGTGCCAAAATACCGATTCGTTCCAACTAACTGGCTAGAGAGTCGATTACGAGCAACGCAACGTAACACGACAGCGTGCCAAATGACGACGATGCTTGACCGGTTGCCTTAAGCCTAGCGCGTCCGGTTAAACTATCAAGGTCAGCATCAATGTTGAATCTCGTCAAACCCTAGGCTATTGATTTTCGGGAAGTGTGCGACTCCACAGCACTCCAGATGCTGCCTATCACTTATCCCACCCTCCTGATTGCTGAACATCCCTCACTGAAACGCTGAAGGGGACCTAGAGAGTAAAGTTAAAGTGTCGTGGTCCATACGTGTTCCTCTACATTTACACCGAGCTGATCGATAGAGCCATTCGTATACCTCTATTTACACACGCAGATTCTGAATGCGTGATTAGAAGTTCAATACACCTGCGGAGCAACTTATCATCACAAAATACCGCTAGGCCTGAAATAAATAAATGAGCATCTGAAACATACAAATATTACCTAATCAACCGTGTACGGCGTCGGTGGGTGCCTTCAGAGTTAGGCATCGGTTCGTCGATATTCGCGACTTCAGCGTCTTATCTGAGGTGACCAACAGTCGCACAGATTTCACAGTCCAGCCGTCCACAGGCAGATAAGCTCCAACGTCTTCCTTGAAATAGCATTTTTGCTTTAGATTAGTGAATAGATTGCTCCTTCGGGTACCTCTTAGGATATAACGTGTTTTCTTACTTGTCATTTATCATGATCACTAATACACAATTAAGGTGATGCGTAGCTCGGTACTGGTGTGCACTAATTTGAGTATGACTGCTTAGGTTGCATGCGTTACCAATCCAACCAACTTATGGCAACTGGAGGGCTCGAGCATCGTTTCACATATGTGTTTCCGGTGTTATTCGTTCCTCATTCTTGCTACAAAAATAGTCTCTCGATATCGGAGATGGCTCCAATCGTTTTGCTTTCGAATATCCTGACTTCTCTCGGTTGTGTTTCCAGTTGCGTCGAGGTGCAACCATCAATCGAAGAATTTTTCATATTCATCATACGCTTCTGTATTTTGCTACTTTCCGTCCTCGCTTCATCATATTGGTTTGTGCCTTATCCATTAATTTTACTCTTAGGGTGAACGGGAAAGGTCCTTCTATGATGGTCTTGTCCGTACAAATTTCCGCTTTCTCTTCAAGGAGATAATCACTTCGGTCTGTTTATGTCGGAGAGCGATGCCTACAAGAACAAACCAACTGTCCGGAAACGACTTTCGATTCGGTTGCCATTTTTCTTGAGGAAAAGTGTCTCGGAAAACACACAGTTGCACCTGACGACCACACTGCAGGAGCATTGCGTGATATTTCGCCATTGAAAAATAGTGAGAAACAGAGGGCCGATGAGCCTCTAAATGGTTACTGGGTTTTCGCAAACCGCAGAGCCCCCAAATGTTTGCCATCTGATGAAATGAATTCCAAATTATATAACTAGGACGTAGTGGCGGCAATGTAAGTATTCTTCTACCGCAGTCTGTTCGAGGCCTCGAATACAGAAGCTTGGTGTAATTCGGACACTAGTGGCATGGACATCTGCACTGTCATTTAATCTCTTCAGGAGAGACAGACCTCACCGCAGAAGGTTACATCGTCAACATTGGGAATGGGATCACCATTCCACAAGGCCATACCTCGAAACTTTATGCTGTCAGCTGTTCTGCAGAGCAAGACCGCGTCATCCCACCTCCCTTCACATAACATACGCCTATCAGCCTCCTGATCCCTGGCAGGTTATGACGAGAAGTTAATGAGTGCGTTCGCTCACAAGGCATCATCACTTCACATGTCGAAAATTACAGGTGACTGCCTGACAACCAATCGTCTATCCTTAAAACTTTCTTAGTTTAGTGACTAGCCTGGGATCACCAGACTGGTTACGTCCGGGACAACCTAATGGGTGCCACAGATTTTTGTACCTAGCCTTCACCACCCAGATTGCTCACACAACGCTTCAAGTTGACACAGAACTCCTAGTCAGTAAATGCAAGGTGATATTCGGTAACTTCAATCTGCAAATCAGTATCAGCTTGGACGGCAACCCAAAGGCAGCTGCATTTGGAGACTCATTCCTTATCACTTCGCATACTACATGCCACACTTTCAAGTCGGAGTGGAAGCTAGGAGCTATCAAGTAAGAACTTATCTGCCACATAAAGTCTGGTTATCTTGGATTAATAGTGGAGCTCATAAAATCTTGAATAAGCAGAGCTGGACCAAATGTTTCCCGTTTATTCACGGAGAATGAAAACCCCCCACACTGACGCAGTTCACCACTTTTAGATGTTTAGCTCTCGTTTCACGAACGGAAGATGATGATGATACATTGCTTCCAACCCACTCTCTAAAAAATATCCCCTCCATTGAATTTTCCTCCCAATAGCATGACTTTCAGGTTCACTCTGTGGTCAACATAAACAAACAGATATTTTGCTTCCACATTATGGGTTTTGCATGAGAGAAGCTGGTTGAAAGGAACTATCACACTGATAAATGTTGAAAAATCTACAAGATTTTAGCGGTCTTGGATAGTGCAGAAGCTACATCACTAAAACCCTATCACGACATCAAAAGATTCTGCAAGTTATGAGACGAAAAAGGAAACATTACTTTTCAGTATGCACACAATGTCTGGGTTTCAACCGTTTTCACTCATAGACGTATATATATATATATATATACATATATATATATATATATATATATATATATATATATATATATATAGATGGAATAAAGTGTAACGGAAGAAAGGATCTAAGAATCCCTCCCGATCACCCTATTTGATGGTATTGACATTTATTTGAGTATTTTTACCCTCATGGATACTGTGCCTTTGACCCTAGCCGACGGAGCGTTATTTGGTTACACGGCCGTCTTCTTTGACCTGGCACCCATCATGAATGCTTCGCCTTCCTATTGTGTGGCGCTGGGCTATTGACAACGTGGCGTTGTTTTACTGCTCCCGACATTTCATTTTGGTTCAACTTGCGGTTGTACCGTGACTTGACTGCTTACTTTTGACTGGCTACTGGAAACATTCATTTACTGATTTGGTTCCGATAGACAGTTCTTGATCCCTTTTGTCAGGAATATACTTATTGGTTCTCAGGTACTTAACAGCTGTATTTGTTTGACGAATTTTTACTGTATAGTACGTATTTGTCCCCGAGAACGTTTTGGACTATATAGTTACCCAACGGCGCTGTTGAGGCATTTTTGTAGTTTTGATGTAACCTATTGTTGCTTAGATAGTACCACAGATTTTGTTACGAACCTGCCAGCGATTTACTATGCGCCGTGTTATTGGTATCGTTGATCCAACCTTTGACTGTACATCAATACCGGAAGTTCGGGAACTATACAGTAGAAAGCAGGAACTTGTCAGATTCCAATTAGTTGACACCGCCTAGTTGTTTCCATCGTTCAGGCCAAAAATAATTGGATTTGGGCTGTTGAATCGACGTAGCGCTATATTCCAAGTTTGCATTTCGAGCAGTCGATATATTTGGCTCATCTTCACAGAGCCATGTTGAGCCAGATTAATGTCTATTTCACAATAAATCGTTGTTTCTAGTTTCAGAGACCGAGAGAACCAGCAACAGGGATTGCGGGGATCAGTAAGTTTCCACATAATCGTTTAATCCAAGTGAATATCTGTCTTCCAGCATTTTCCACCCTTCAAGTGGGACGGTTCACAGCAATATAAATTTACGCCGCTTAAATTAGATGCTGTGGTGAAAAGAAACAGATATTTGAGGTGCCGCAGATCAATGGAAGTGGGTCTTGCAAATTATCGAAGTTAAAACATGCAGCACCTTCAGAAAGGTACATTCACTGATGGATGGGGTGATAGAGAAATCTGTTACGTAGCACCGTTGTGAGCATACCATCTATAGGCGGCTTGATCTCTTAGTTTTACCTGTTTGTCCAGAGTCTTGCTGCCATTGTGACCGTCCAGAAATTTGAGCGATTCTAGGGTACATAAATGTTAACATGGAGGTGGGGTCAAGTGAACAGATAAGATCGGCGGGTTTCGCGGCAGCATGGTTTTGTTTTTTGAGGAACATCGGAATGTTGGGGAAAGGCAACATGCATTCTTCATCTGAGTACTGTTGTCACCATTGAAGGTTGTCTATATGGTGTGGGTTTCTGAGGATATTGGTTCAATTGATTACTCGTTTAGTGTTAATATTTTCAGGCGATTCGGTAAGTTTACGTCACAGTCCATTTTCTTCATAAATTGGAGATATCTTTGTATTGCTACCACCTAGAAGTTTGATCGAAAAAAACAGAAAAACTGGTGTAGCCTCTGCATCTTTGTGACTGGAAACTGTTTATATATTAGGAAATTTTGTTACGTCCGTAGTTTTGGTGGCAGTATTGGTGGTGCTTTTCATAACACAGCCGC